GAGTGTTGTTGTGTTGCCTTTGCGTTCCGCAGTGACTGTCTCCGTTCGAAGCAGGGAGGTTACAGTGAAGGGGCCCCGCGGGGAGTTGAAGAGGACTTTCCGTCACCTGCCTTTGGTCCTACACACAACGAAGGACGCAAAACACGTCAAGGTGGCAACATGGCAGGGTAGGAAGTCGGACATTGCGTGCCTGCGCACTGTCTGCTCTCACTTGAACAACATGTTCACGGGGGTGACGAAGCAGTTTGAGTACAAGATGCGTTTCGTGTATTCTCACTTCCCCATCAACCTTAACATCATTGACGGTGGAAAGGTCGTCGAGATCCGGAACTTTTTGGGGGAGAAACGCGTGCGAATCGTCAAGCTTCTTCCTGGCGTTATTTGTGAAAAGAGCACAAACGTAAAGGACGAGATTGCCCTAAAGGGAACGGACCTCGAGCTTGTGTCTCGTTCAGGTAGGTGCACTGCTTGCTAGTAGCATTTTTTCTGGTGTACGCACACCAATGTTGCCCGGCGTGCATGCACATCTGCCTAAACGGTAAGCAGTTCCCGGTGACAAATAGAGAACAGCAGCACGTCACGGGTTCAGTTTTGTGGATTGCGCTTTTCCGCACAGCCGCACTCATCCACCAGGCAACGCTGGTACGCCGTAAGGATATCAGGAAGTTTTTGGACGGCATCTACGTGTCCGAGAAGGGAACACTTGAGAAGACGGACTGATTTATCACAGCTGCCGCCGGTGCACGCTCATAATATAAGACAACGGTCATTTGCCTTTGTTGTAGATGCCAAAAAGCAACTTAGACGGTTTATGGGTTTCGAGCAGTTTCCCTGAAGGATTGCTCTATTGCATGCCGCCCTTGTTTTGGTTCATTTGTGCCTTTACTCAGTGGCCTCAGGCTGCTGATGTCTAGGCTCAGGCTTGCTGGAGCAGCTACTCAACCCCTTCGCAAAGCGTTGTGTTGGACTGAGACGTCTACGAGCACAGTTGGACTGGACATTTGGAACTCCCTGAGAGTAGACATCAGTTTAGAGTAGCAGCCGCCTCCGTTAGTATACCCTACGTTTTATATTCGGGCAGCAAGCCATTCACTTTCTAGGAAACTTTTCCCATAGGTGGACTAGAGGAGAATAGGACAAAGCGTTGAGTCAGACAAACTCTCTGCCAGCCGAGTGCGCCGAGGAGGCGCGCTGTGAGGAGTAGGCGGCTACTGTTTGCCGCATGGGGAAAGTTGCCGCAGGAGCACTAGGACAGTGTCCTTGCAGGAGGCTATATAACCAGCGAGACCACCTGACTGCGGTCACCTGACCTGTAGGTAGGTGCGAGCGGTGCATTCACATAAGTGCTAGTAAAGAGGCGCTGCTTAAGCTTATGACAGCACTACAGGGGAGGAGCCGCAGCAGAGGAAGCGACGCGGGGGTCTCGTGTTTGTGACAACAACAGTTTGTTTTGCCTTCTGTGCTGCTTTCTGCCTTTCTAGTTTCTCCACGTATACCTGCGTCATAACAGTGAGCTCCTGTTCCATCTGTTTGGTTTCTTCCAGCTTCTGCTGAACACTTTGAGTCAATGCTTGAGATTCCTGGGTTACTTTCTTTGAGGACTTGAGGAAGCCCCGGACGGAGTCTCGCAGCTCCGCCGGTGCCGGGGGTGGCTCTGTATGCTCGTTTGAGTCGGGGCAATAGAAACGTGTTTCGTTCCTGTCGAATGCAAATTTAACTCGAAGCTGCTCTACGAGGCGGCGCGCTTGGCCGTAGCCGAATGTCCTGTTACCCTTCAGGATGGGCAGAGGGCGGCCGTCAGCCCCAAGGGTGACGGTTGGTTTGCGCGCCGCTGTTTTCGAGTCCTTTCGAGTTCCTTGATCTGGTGGGGGGGCTTCCAGAAGGCCAAAATGAATCGATTCACGAGCGGGACTGGCAGCTGTGTTGTCCGGCTCAGCCAAATTGAACCGAACAGGCCGGCCATCTGCGAGGCTCCGCTTAGACGCCGGCTCTGTACACGCTCCCAGTATCGCTGCCTCAGCCGCCATAGTGCAACGGTTGTATACTGTATATGCGTGTGCTCAAACTTANCTCCCAGTATCGCTGCCTCAGCCGCCATAGTGCAACGGTTGTATACTGTATATGCGTGTGCTCAAACTTAGTCCAGGTGGTGAATAACAAGAGATGTTGAGGCACGGCCATACGAAAGCCTTATAACATTCTTTCCGCTCTTCACTGCAGATCCTCCGCATCGGCAGTTTTTTTGCTGGAAAAAAGCGATGCCTCTGACTCTACGTGCTGGCTTGCGCTTGCCTCTCCGTGCTGGCGTGCGCTTGCCCGTTTGAACGCGTGAAGCGCCGCGTGCTTTAACAGGGATCCCCAGCACTTCAGCAGAGCGCCTACCCTATTGGGAGTCCAGATGGCCCTTGAGTGTCATCCTGTGTATGGTTGTGTATGGTTGCACTGTCTACTGGGTGTATGCAATGAATGTACTTTAGTGAGCTTCGTCGCATGGGTGGCAGTGACCGAGTCCATCCGGGCGCATTACTGTAGCCCACTCTAGAGTAATATTTGGCGCCGATGTGCAGACGCCTCTAAATGCATAGAGCTGAGCTAAATCCTCTAGGGTATCTCGTTCACGCCCCTTTTCTGCGCCGGATGGTACAATGTCTCTGGAGCTCGTGGAGCAGCACATAAATTTGACGGCTGCAGGGGATCAGGGTAAAGCGGAAGTAAAAGGAACAAAGAACTATTCGTTTAAGATCACTGCGTACGGCTATTGGCCAATTGTAAGGCAGTGCGCTCAGTAGAAGACTGCTGCATCGTGCAGGAATGACCCGGGAAAGCCCCATGAGCGCCATCGACACGCATGCGCCATTCTGTTCGCGGCAACCGATAAACCAAACCTCCTAAAGAGGAGCTACTTAGAAAGATAAATGCGTTTAACTCGATACCAGACAGAGTCCATCACAATGACGCTATGACGGATATTCCTCTCAGTGGAGTAGGTTGCCTGGTACGGCTGTGTCACCTGTCGGCAGCCCCGTCATTCTGTAACCTGGAAATTTTCTCACATTGACACCTTCGAGCATATCCGAGGACTTGGGCTATGCTATTTCGAAGCTTATCTTCCCCAGAGGCATGCATATAGAAGCAACACTTGCGCAACTGATGATCGTTGTAAGCAGCATGTGGGCGTCCTACGCACGTTTGATCTTCGTGTGATCAAGTTAGTTTCTTGCTGCATTTCCTGTTGTTTTAGGTGTGTGCGTGAATAACCCCTTGGATGTACATTTCTCTTCTGAGTTTTGTCCTTAACTCCAGGGGGAAGCTTTGTTCCTGGAGACCCACTAGAGGGCGAATCCAACTGGCTACAGGGGTTGCTCGGATGTTGAGATTTCCGGCAACCTAGAAATATCGCATGCGTTGGGGATCGCTGTGAGTCCAGTCAAGATGGCCGCCCCTTCCTTCCATATGCAAGTCCCGGCGCACTACCTGCCAGCCTATGTGGACATCCGGCGGCTGAAGAAGCAACTTGAAGAAGTCGTGCACAATGCACAACGTCAGCGCGCTACTGTTCGGGTGAGCTGGCTTTAGTATCTAGTTTGTGCAATGCATGCAGTACAGCTTCATAAGCTTATGAGATTGCTGGCTCTGCGAGAAAACTCGCAGTGCCTGCATTCCGAAAACAGGAAGGCAAGCAAACACCTCCACTTAGTTCAAGAGTTGCCTCTGCAGCCGGATTGTCTGCTAGCAGCCGACGTTTAGTGCTTGAGGTGTTGGTTGTTTGCAGCGCCGCCTGGATATTCTGCAAAGGCCCAGAATATTGCCCTCTGGCATGACACAGAAGCCCACTTCGCCAGCTGCTGCAAGCGAGCATCAAGACACGGAGCCTAGCTCACCTCACGCAGTAGCAGATCCATCCCAAAGCCAATATACATCCTCCGCAGCAGCCGCAGCTGCCCGGGCTGACGATGGAATGGCTGGGTCGAGTTTGAGGGCTGAGGCAGAGACCCTGTCTCTGCTTCCCGGTAGGCTCAATATGCATAGCCGCCGGCTAGCAAACGCTTCGGCTTAGCTTAATCCGTGTGCATCCGTGTTTACCTATTATTGCCGTCGTGTGCAACTTTGTGTAAGGCAAGTGCAGAGATTGCAGGAGCAACGCTTCAGTTGAGTAACTGAATTACTTTATGCGTAAACGGCAGTGTTTTCGGTATTAGAACGGCGGAGTAAAGGCGTGCATCAGTGTGGTACTTTTGTCGGGTTTGGCTCCAGTGTCGATTTATATTCCAGTTCTGACATTTGAGATGTGCGCGTACATCTGATTCTGTTGCAAGCGTTGTTGACTGCCTATCCAAACAGAGGCTCAGTTCTGGGGGCTGCTTCAGCAACAAGTACATGAACTCAACAAATTCGCAACTGCAAAAGAACGGCAGATTCAGAAGGATTTGCGACTTATTGCTGCACGAATGAAACAGGCACGCCCTGAAGCCGAATCCCTCTCCCCTGGCTCCGAATTTATTCACTGCAACGTCTCAATGCGAAGCAGTTTGTGGCCGTTTTAGAAGCTCGCTATCTTGCCTTCTGAGGTGCCCCTGGTAGTTTCCGGAGGAACTCTTGCTCCATAATGTGTTGAGCTGTCAGTGTGTGTCTTGTGAGGCGCAGCACCCAAGCCTTCAAGGAGACGAAGAACAACTTATTGAAGAACAGTCGGCTGGTAAGATGGCTTTGTTTCTCCGAGTGAAGTGGGGCTATGCGCTAGAGCCGGACATGCAATTTTGGAGAGCCTTTGCAGTCTGAAGTGTACTGGTTCCTCTGTGAATGCATCGGTCTTTATCTGTTGGTGTGCTTGGTTTGCCTTGCAGAGATAATTCATCTCGACCTGTACATCCGCACGAACCACAAAGCGTTGCTGTTCCTCTGTTCGCATTTTGACCGTCTGCTCACAGGTGTAAGCCCCTTCAGTGCACATAACATAGGGAGGCACCTGATACAGCGTTACCTCCTAGTAGAGGGTTAAGGGGTGCAGTTTTCCTGTCTTTGCCCCTCATCCTAACCACAAGTCCCTTCCCCTACATGGCAGCGATTGTCCGTGGATAGGTGCAGGTGCCTTTGGCTAAAAACAGTTACTTGTGACATGGATAACTGGTTGTATGGCTGGCATTGCGCTGTGGCGTTGCATTTGAGCGATTCAGGTGAAGACGGCGCGGTGGTTTTCCACTTCGCTTCTGAAGGAAGCATATTGCAACGTTGACCTCGAACGCCTGGTTCTGATGCTGTCCCTTCTTTGGGGGAGGTTTCGTTCCAAATTGGTACGTAGTAGCGGCCAGGAACAGCTTGTCAGTCTAACCCGCGTCTGGCCGCCGACGCAGTACGTGCACTCGGCAACTAGTTCTAAATTCGATGGCGAGATGTCTCCTAGGCGTCAAACACACAAGTAGCAAGGCATTTTGAGTTGTGATGCGTGCAGGAGGGAAGGCAGATGGAATCTGAAGCATGGAAGCCGCCAGATTCATTTGTTCGGGTTACAACCAAGTACTGGGTCAGACCAGAGAACATTGTGAGTCTGATGCAGCTCTGCCGTGCCCGCACAGGGTCTCTTCTGCACCCAGTGACAGCTCTTTTGGGAGTTTAACCAGAAATCCGCATTTCTGAAGGGATTTGCGGGGTTAGGGAGGCTGTTTTCATCTCATCCTTGCTTCAATCCATTGGGAGTTAGTCGGCGTGTACCATGCGGTTTACGATTGTGGCCTAATCAACCTTCAGTGAGTGGGGACTCTAAAGACAGTACGACAGATACTTTCGGCTCGACTTGACTGTATTTGCAGGTGCGGGCGCAGTGCCTAATTGTACGGCATTTGCCATTTCTCGTATTCGGGACATCTGACAAAGATTTGGTGAGTTTATATCAACTCCTTTCATCTTGGACAAGACGTCCTGCTTAATCCAGCGCACTCGACTCTTTCGCATCAACTGCAGCAGTTGCGTACGGTGCTGTAACAGGTCCCCGCTGAGGTGTGCCTTCTACTTGGCGCCTACTGCCCTGTATGCATTTGCTTGTTATATATTTGCTTAGCTGCCTGCGCTGTGTCTGTTTTTAGGAGGCGTCATTGCTTGACCCGGATACTACAGCAGACGGGCACAAACTCCGGGCACCTAATCTTGCACCGACACAGATGGTGGCGTCAGTGTATTTCGACAGTTCAGGTAGGCAGTGCTCGTTGCTCCATATTGCCATCCATTAACTTAGATTCAACCCACACGCCCACGTAATGCAAGCCAGCGCAGTCTTCCTTACACGTCCCGAAGGGAAATGGAGATTCACCCGGCGACGATAGCATCGAGCACGACTGGTGGTTGTCGTTGTTTTTATCCCCTCCCGTTATCTTCTTATTCGCATGTAAATTCGTGGATGTGCAGGTGGGAATGCGGTGAAAATGCTTAGGTGCTTGTTCGTGTGTCCCATTCTTCTTTGCTGCCGTTACAGGCGCCTACAGCTACGAGCGTCGCATAAGACGATTTGAAGGCGCTCAGCTATTGCGCTTTCGTTGGTATGGCACCAACAACAATGGTCCAGACGAGGACATTTTCATTGAACGGTGGGGCAGCGCACTTCACTCCGTAGCCGCGCGGTGGCCTTTGCTGTGAGCTCGGGTACGGCATGTTTTGCGCTTGCGCGACTGTGCTCACTTGATTTTAGGAAAACACATCACGAGTCCTGGAGTGGCATGAGCAGCACGAAGGAGCGATTTGTAGTCCCGCAGCGGCTTGTCGCTCCGTACATGCTGCTGCAACGAAGTGCTCGAGATCTTCTGCTGGAGGCCGCAGGTTTCCACTTCTCAGCAACTGACAGTGGCCCCGTGTCAGAGCCCCCAATGTCTCATGAACATACTGGGAGCCCTTATCCTGTGGATGGTGACGCTCAGAAACGTGCCGCTGATGCCTACATAGCGAAAAACGGGAAACTGAAGAAGGCTATTCAGTTAGGGGAAGAGATACAACAGGCAATCGCAGAACATCATTTACAACCGATGGTAAGCAGTCTATCAAAGACGTGCGCACATGACAAGTCGCACGAAACGCCGTTGTGGTTTGCAGCTGCAGTCGTTCGCTGCGAGTCAATAATATGGCTGGCTCTCGATTACGAGTCAACTCCACGCCAGGTAGCTCTGACACCACTGTCCGAATTCGTTGCTTCGGGCTGTAGAGTTTGTCGTAAGCAGGAAGCATGTAAGACGAAGGATACACATGAAAGTGGATGAAGAGGGCACAAAGCTTTGATTTCATTTCAGCTTGCGGGCATCCGTTTGCTGAGTTGCAGCTACGGACGAGCTACCTGCGGGCAGCCTTCCAGTTGGCCACTTCAAACGCCGTAAGCAGAATAAAAGCGGCATCTCGTCTGCACAAGGCTCAGCCCGTGCAGGCGCATTACTGCAGTTCCCTTTTGTTCCCTATGCAGCACCATGTTGGCTTTCTTCCCAGTGCCAGCTGCTTGTTACTTAACGGCAGGGGCATTCAGGCTAAGGTTATTGAGTTCTTGCTCTTTNTCTACGTTCAGGTACGTATTTCTTTGGACACGAATCTGTGCATGGTCAACGAGTACAGGCCTCAGAGGCAGGAGGATGGCGGTTTCAATTGGTGCCGACTTGCAGACGAATTGCTAGGAAGGGTAAGGGCCCTCCAGATAAGCTTCGCACCTGCTTCTGTGCGTGGTGACGGGTTTTCTTCAAGAAACTACCTTTAGTAAGGTGGCAGCGTCTGTTAGGCAGAACTGTGCCACACATATTGTATTCGTTGTATACTCCTTTTGGGAGTGCATCCCGCTAGATCAACGACGGAGTATCTCCCAGTTAGTAGCACGCCGAGAGCTGTCTTTTACCGATGAATCTGCTACAGGACGAGGTTGTGCGGTTCCCCTATGCTATTCTTGAAGTGAAGGTTCAGCAACAACCGCCGCCTGCTTGGGTGCAGTCGATGCTTTTGTTATCAGACGCGAGTAGGTCTATGCGTTCGCGGCCTACTTAATCTTACTAAGGAGAAGCGCCTTGCTGCTGTTACATCACTAACATTTCACTTCAAACTATGCCTTATATTTTATTCAGGTCGACGTGAAGTGCAGCTTGCATAGCTCCTGGATGTGCTTGGAATGTGGCTTGCGCTGCAACTCGGCTTGTGACTTAATACTTTGCTTGTTTGCATNCAGCTGAAAAAGAAGTGAGTTTCAGTTAGCCTGATGTGTATGGTGAGTTCGATCCGCAGCATTGGTGTACAAGTTTTCCAAATTTCAACACGGAATGGCATTTTTGCATCGCGACAAGATTTCCAGCGGGCTGCTGCCTCACTGGTTGCAGAGCCCTCAATCTGCGCAGCGACAAAGGCAAGAAGACGAGCAACTGTCAGCGCAGAAGAACCGCGGTACCCTGCGGGTACCTCCCCTAGGCGGTTCCCTTTTTGAGTCGCTGCGCAATAGCCCCGATAGCCTGTTGACGCCTTTAACCCGTAGTCTGACCGACCACCACCTGCCAAGACTTTTGACTTCTGACGCTCTTGGAACGGAGAGGCGGAGCCTCTTCCCTGTAGGTCTGTCCAATATTTCTGCCCCTTACGCATTCCAAAGCTACAGCTTTTGCAGAAGCATGTAGTACTTAACGCCATATATGAGCTAGTTAAGTGGGGGTACAGCTAGAGTCGTAATTATTCTGTGTGTGTCTTGCAGGCGAAAGCGAAGCAGTGGTCGCGGCTGATCCAGACTGGGTAGGCAACTGTAGGCTGCAACAAAGCTCCACAGAAGAATCCTGAAAATCAGCTGGTGTATCCGCGCCTCTCCAGTTCGCGTTTAAAGAGGCAGTAGAGAACATTTAGTGAGACATATGCGCTAACTGATATTGGTGGTGCGAGTCCCTTGGCATGGAGTCCCATGTTGGGATTCTGCGTTTGCATACAGGAAGATGTGACGGCTACAGCAGCGCACCGCACATTTTGCTGGTTGAGAGCACAACAAAAGCGGCAGTTGCAGCAGGCGCCCAGCGCCATAGGCCAGGAGGGACCTGCTGAAGGGGAATTTGAAGATGATCGCCCGCGGGCGAACAGCGGCAGCAGTGCAGACTCACTGCGCCAACGGCTGCTGCGCCGGCACATTCGCACCGTGAAGAAGATTGACCCCAAGACATCCTTCGCTGCGGAGCGCACATTTCTGCACTACATTCAGAAGGGGCTTTACTTGGCAGGAGCAAGCCTTGCGTAAGTTCTCACTTCAGCGTTACGTGGCTGGAAGTTCCCGGAGCTAGGCAAATATCATCTTCAGCATACTGTGCTGCTGGCTTTTACATCTGCAATCAGTTCTGACCGTGTTGTGCATTCTGCAGCTGCGTAGAAACTCTCAGCGGCGACTGGGGTTTGGGTGTAGTACTCATACTAGCTTTTGCGAGTGTGCTTCTGTGCTGCGGCGCCTACGCCATCTACGTCAACCGATGCCGTCGAATATCCCAGTAGGACTATCTTCAAAGCATTCGCATATTTCCTGCAGCTTCCTTTCTTCAAAATTGCGCTTATTTTCCGCCGTATGGTACTCTGCGGATAGCAGGGAACGGAGTGTTTGCTGTCTCTCTGTGCCTCTTCGCAGGAGAGTCGCGAAAGCAGGTGCAGCTAACATGCAACAACGCATTGATTCCCAGTGGGGGCCTTTGCTGGCGTTTTTCGCGGCCGGTGTAGCCACGTTGTTGGTGCTGGTGCTCCAGGTGGACGTCAATCTGCGGAGTGTCTTGAAACATGAACAGGTAGAAAATTCGGCGGTCTACAGCCAGAAGCAGCGTGCAGAAATGGATTTATCGCAGCAACCCGTGAACGAGCTGTAACTGCTGCAGCTTACTCAACCGCAGTGCTGCTTTCTTCAGCAGGATGCTCATCTGGGTTGCAGAGAAAAATTGAAATGGCATTCTGAACTGCTTGTCATGTTGAAGAAGGCCGTCTGGAGTTTTATTCTGGGAGAAGGGTGTGTTATTTGGAAGTTCCTGTCTGCACTTTCGAACATCAAGATCCAACCCTCAACAGCAGCAGACAATGGCACATCAGAGGCACCGATATGGTCTGCAGCGTCCAGAATACACAGCTCACTGCGTATGTGCGGGAGAATGGTAAAGCAGTTACCGAGGGAAGGGAATGCCGGCCCCAGTTAACCGTTGATTGGACATTTCCCTCGGACGACTGCTGCCTCTCGAGCAATGCTTGTTGGGGCGATGTGAGCTGCTTCTCCTAGTCAGCTGTGTCACGGAAATCCAGAAATATCACCTGTTGACGGGCAGCAAGCGATGCGTTTGTGGCTTCGTAAAACAGGCTGATCAGGGAGCTGAATTGGATCTCGCGAACGCGTTCCAGTGCATTGTGTGTTCGAAGAGCTTCTTCAAGGCCACGGCATTGTATTAATCTTCGCCAGCCACGTAGCATTATGCTGCGTGTTTCGATAGCGGCAGCAAGCACTACGCGCGGAGGACTGACTGGCAGCATACTGAAAGACACCTTGGAACATCTCTGCCAAGGCAGATCAAGGGCTGGTCTGTGTATTGGGGAGCCTTTGTATGCGTAGCGCACATGAATGTTTCAGTCGTCTGTTGGCCAGGCACTCCGAAATCATTAGCAGTTTACACGCATCACAAAGGAGTACACAGGTATGTAGCGCCTGACAGCTGAGTGGATACGACAGAAAACCGGATGGCTCAGTGGTCAACGTGAACATTCTGTCTGGCCTCGTTGAAATTCCCTACTAGAGGTCCATTTTTTCGCTTGAACAGTCATCGCATAGATTTGGAGGAGCTCGCTACTTACTAAATTGTTGACCACGAAGTGTTGAGTTGTTTACGGAGAAAGCAAGAGCTTTCACGAAGTTACATTGTTCACTA